CGAAACCCGTTAGCTGGTTGTTATGGCCAATGCAGTAAGATAGAGACTTTTTGCGAGAAATATTAGATAAATAGCTTATTATTTATTAAATTGCAAAAAACACAATCTTAGTAAAGATATTAATTACGTGTAAAGTGTTGAGTTATGTTCAATATTCTGCCACGAAAGAACAAAGAATATTTCAGAATTGTTACCTCCACAAGAGGTGGTACTATCATGTTATATCTCTCATGTTAACTATTAACTAACTATCTTGGTAAAGAGCTAAAGAAAATTTTTTGTATAACTCTCTGGCTCCCTACGGAAAAAGTATGAAATTTGGAGAAGGTGTATAATAAAAACTATTATAATAAATTATTCAAGTTTTTTATATATGTGTAGGAATAATGTGCACAATATATGTAACATATATAGTCATTGCGGATTTTTTATTCACATAAAATGATGTGAAATCGGTAAATGTAACACTCCTTTTTAATATAAATCTTATATTGTTATTAAAATAATTGTTATAAGTAACTCCAATTACTTTCAATTTGTTTTTAAAACAAAAAAATTATCAATTATGTGGCAGCATTATAGTTTTTTTATACCGCTAACTGTACTAAATTCGAACAACGCAACTCAATAGAAAGAGACAAAACAATACTTAACATAATTATATTAATAGCAATATTTAAATAATTTACTAAGTAAATCACAATTTCACAATTGCTTTAGTTTTAGTGAATTGAAACAGAAGTTGCAAATATTAAATAGTTATTTATAACTAAAATATTTCAAAATAAAAAATTTATTAAAGAAAGAGACAACTAGTTATGATAATGGCTGCTAAGCACATAATTCGAACATAAAACCGAAACACCGCAAAGGTGCATTTGCGCGTGTGTATAAGTTTTAAAAATAATTCATATATCAACAGAGACCAATATAATTGCTAATAAATAATGTTATCGTGTTAAGAATTGAGTTATATATCAAAAAAAATATTTCTAAATTATGTTTATAATTAATTTCATATTTTTCCCTTGTAATTTCCATATTTTTGAACAAATATGATAAGATGTTACTTTAATGTAAATTATATTATAATAATTATTAATGTTTTTTAGTTGCTTAATAACAAGTCTAATGCCAATGTGATTTCTTTTGGTAGGGTCCAGGGATTATGTGCCAATCAATTTGTTTTCCTTTCAATAATATTGGGGAGATTATTTTCAATATTCAAACAATATAATTCTAACCACTACAACTTATAAAATATTTGATGAATTCTTTATCGCAATTGGATCCATTTTTAATGTTAATAGATTTTCATAATCAATACAGCTTTATGGTGTCACATCATGAAACAAATATATCATCCATTTGAATTGTTACCTTTCGTGGGTGGAAAAATATAGCTAGTTTTGTTCCAAAGTAAAAATATTAGCAACAAATTCGCGGCTGAATATTTTATCCTCACTGCTGTAATCATATCCTTAAATTGTAATTTTTTACCTTTGAAATCTTACAAAACCTAACCCTTGTCTTAGTGTCTCTACTCCAACCATCACACTGAATATTTTTTAAATGGCCGGTATAGGCAACATAAAGACAACTTTATAATGGAAACGAGGTACTCAGACTTTCGTTTATTATTTGAACGAAAAGGATTGACTTTTGCAAATAGTTATGACTTAACTGAACTCGGATTAATATGATCTTTTTCATAGCTAAATGATATTATTCAATCTGTCTCTTTTGAATTAGTGCTCTATCCGAAATTTCGCAACAAATTGGAACCAGTTGACCCCTAGTTACTTCTTATTCATACATAAACCTAGCATGCATTATTGATAAACGTGATCGCATCTACATTGGCACCCTATTAAGTGCCATTAAATGACAGGGAGAGTATTTAAAGAAGAAATTTGATTTTTAATTTTCTTCCAGCAGAAGAATATAATTAATCAAATTCTTATTTACACATCCAGTTGACACAAAATAGGCAAAAAAATAAAAACTTCTTAAAAATTATTTACAAATTTTATGTTTATTATATAGAAGGCTAACTATATCTTCCAATAATCCCTGGTATTACTATACTATTAAAAGTTTTATATAATCTAATTATTTTTACAATTTTTAATATGTATACTAATATGTAAACTATATATACAATTTGTTTTTAATAATTATATATATATATAATAATTTACTATACAAATGTAACATTAATAATTAATTATAAACATATCATTAATTATGTATTTAAATATGCAATAATAATAATTAATTTAAATGCATCATTTTCTAATTACAAAAAAGTAGTAAATGCTTATTCGAAATCGCGGTAAACCTCCATATAGTATTTAACAGTGTAGTATTCGAAGTCGAAAGCCTGATTTTTATGCCTGACAACAAATTGCTTGCTTATAACCTTCATTTCGACTACTGCCAAGTACGAAAGTGGTTGTGTTTTCTAAACGTGAAATAAATCTGTGGATCATTTTATTTTTTATTCATTTTTTAATACTAACGTTGTGAATTTTCGTTTAAAACGAGTCATTTATTAAACAATTATCGAAAGACACTAATATTTTGCATACTGTTAAAGAAGCAATATAAATTAAAATGGCCGACAATAGCAATATTAGTAAATTTGATGTTAAACTACAAGCTTTGATTTTAAGAAACCCCCATCAGTGTCCACTATGCCAATTATATTATCATCGCAAAAACGTAAGTACTGTTATTATTTTTAATCCATTATTTATCAAAAGTTATTAATATCAATAATTCCTTTGCGCAATAGTAAAATGCGCAAATATAAGTACACAAAATGGCGGTACCGTAAGCTACGCAGCTAAATAGCGGTTGTAGGTACAGCATTGCCAGACATTGACTGTGGACATTTTTATTGCAATATAATTATTATTAAATATAGCTTTATTGCTATATAAAAAGTTTTTATAGATATTATGAAAAAGTTATTTGAATTTTATTAATAATTTTGGTTGTGTTAATGTGATAGCGTAAAAGAAGTACTTTTATCGTCTCTTAAAATTAGGTTAGGTTGAAATTTCTATTGAAATTATAATTCTATACGCAGTCGTAGGGAGCGTCCAGAATATATTGAATCAAGATTTCTTAATTGGTGTGTCGTTTTTTTATTTAATATAGATCAAAATAGAAAATCTGAAATGAATAAATAATATTTTTAAATAATATAAAAAAAAAATTGTGAAATTATATTTTTATTAATATATAAAAATTATATAAATACATATATATTAATTTCATTTAGTTATTTTTTTTGTATTTAATACTGTGCTGTTATCTTTCTTAAAAATAATATTAATAATAACATTAATGATTAATTTTAAAATAGCATAAAATCCAATAATGGCATAAAATAAATAATTAAAATGTTAATTATTTTTCTTTCTATTCAAACAAAAAAAAAACACCACAGAATATAATCCAAAATTGTTTTTTTATGTAGATCTTTATATTTAATTATTTTATCTATATCTATATAATATTAATTAAAATATAAGACATAATACTGGCTTAGATGAATCTAGCTCGCTAGGTATAAAGCCTATATGTTCACATCGCTCTCCCCTGATTACTGGAATGAAGTTTGGAATGGTGGTTTTAGTGAATTCAAGTCTCACAGACGTGGTACTAATATTTGCAGCAATATTATCTCTTAAATTTTTTTGAATTTTTAGTAATTTTAAACAAGGAGTACTCCACGATTCTTGAGTTTATTCTATACTTGGCATAACTTTAAAATATATTCGAGTCTACTAATGTTTCAATATATTTATCTATCTATCTACCTTTGTTACAGAAAAATACATTTTTGAACTATTTTAAATTTATATTATATCATACCTTTTGGCAGAATATGCAGAGATGAAGTCATGGATTTTTAATTTTCACCCATACCATCTTATTCCCATATGATAGTCATTCTCCTAGTAACTGTTGCCTTCGCAAGAGCTTAACGTTAAACTTTAATTTTTGTATAGTCTAATAAAACATGAAAGTTTTATATCTAATTTCTGATTTTTCACCACGTAAACTGTATTTTTTATATTAATAGATAATAAATTCTATTTAACTTTATTATTCACACATTAATAAACCTATCTTGTACTTACTATAAGATCTGTATCTGTACAGATATTTGAGTCTAACCTCCTAGTAACTGTTTCGATCTTTAAGTCGAAACATTTCGTTGGAAATGTGTGCGTTTATAAGTGTCTTCTAAAAGCGAAAGATATCTAAATCGAGACTTGTAGCATACTCTCAAATAATATTTCAGTAACATATTATAGCATTACTCTCCTTTTTGTACAAATATTTGAGTCTATAACTATTTCTATCTTTAACTCAAAACATTCTCTTGTAGAGGTGTCAGTGTGGCATGTGTTCAAGAATAGAAAGAGACCTAAGTCAAGACTTGTAGCATAATTTAGTTTAAATATTACCTTGACGTATTATAGCATTACTCTTCATTCTGTACACAATATTGAGTCTACCCATTCAGTGACTGTTTCTATCTTTAGGTCAAAACACTTTCTTGGAAAGTGTTACGTATATAAGTCAGAACTTATAGCACGATCAACACTATTATTTTCGTAACAGTTTACCCTGTTATTGAAAGTTCTGTCCTTTTAGACTTTGGCTTTTGGTAGCTGTCTGTGTAATAAGCCATTATTAATGTAGCTTTGGTATGATAACTTAAGTTATATTTTCGAAGAAACGACGTTACTTTCCGGACAACCTAATAACATATTATAATATTGAAATTTTACATAATAAATAATATATACTAATATATTAGTTTATACAAACCTTTAGGCCCTCATCGAACATATAGATTTATGCTCAAGCGTTAATAATTATAAGAATCGTGAAGAGATTTATACGAAAAATATCATAGCACTTGAAGAGGAAGCTAAAAGTATGGCTAGTAAAGGTCTTTGTTATTGTTGTGCTGAAACGCTGAATTTGCAACATGTAAGTGTATAAAATAATATGTTATTTATATATATATTTGCTACTTATAACTTATTTATTATTTCTACTCTTACATCCATTACTTAAACGTCCACAGAAAGGTATAATTCCTTGTAATCTATGTAAAAAATGTTTCTATACACGCGCTGGATTTGAGCGCCATGTCTTCACATCGCATTTTACAGATGATACATTTTTATGCGAAATATGTGGGGATCACCTACGGTCAAAAGTTTTTTTAAAACTGCACTTGGATCAGCATAAGATATTAGGCACGGCACACGTATGTGAATATTGTAAACAACAGTTTGTACGAGTCAACCATTTCCAACGACACATCACTTATTCCCAATGTGCCATACGACATGGTCACTTTAAATGCATAAAGTGCCAGACATCATTTACTGATCTAAACAGTTTAAAGTTGCATAAAAAGGAGCATACGGATAACCAAGCCAAACAGACTAAGTTTGTGTGTAGGTACTGCGAGAGAACATGTCCTAATAAGTTTACACTTAAGTAAGTTAACAAAATTCATTTGTTTAAATTTAAATTAAAATTTAATTATAATTATTTAAGAATACATGAAAGGATCCACACAAAGGAGCTACCTTTTGTTTGCGATACGTGTTCGAAATCCTTTAAGTCGCTTCGTGAAGTAAAAGTACATAGACGTTATCATACCGGAGAAAAACCCTATGAATGCCCAAGTGTAAGTATTGAAAATATGCTTAATAATAAACTTATTTAATTAATTGGTCTTAAAAGTGTCTAAAATGTTTCACAACAAAGGAAGTACTCAATCGACATAAAAAGGTACATACCAATGATCGCAAATATGTATGTAATATGTGCGAGAAATCCTTCATACAACACGTCCATCTCAAATTGCATGCCAAGCAACATGATGGTCCACATAAGTGTCAGATTTGCTCGGCTACATTTAAATTTTATACAACGTAAGTAAATAATAATTTCAAAATAAATTATTTATATACCTATTGGGGTAGATAACAGTTAAAAAAAGAATAGGGCGAAAGAATTGACGCTAAAGTGCAATAATAAGGGCGCTATATACTGGTGTGACAAATAAGCGGGCCCTTGATATACTACACCGACAAATATGGTTCACAGTAAAGATCAGTCCGGTGAATATTTTTATATATACGTTTTCTAAAGTATAGCAATACATTAGGAAAAGAGAGATACAGGAGAACTAGCGTCTCTAGAGAACTAGGTTCTACCTAAATACATCTATGTATTAACAAATAGTGAATATTTATGGTAAAGGAAATGTCTTAGTATATTTATAGTTATAGTGTCTTATTATTTATATTATAGTTATTTTATAAAAATTTAAATTGCTTGTTTTTTTACATTTTCAGTTTCACAAAACATTTAAAAAGTCATAACAGTACTGTAGAATGAAACACTTATGTGGCAGTAAACTGTATTATAACAATCACATCATCACCTTAGTCATCACTTTAGTCTCAACATCTATTGTAACACTTCATTGTAAATATTGTAATTTTGCATGTAAATATTATTTGTTTTAATTACTACACTTTTTTTAGTAGTGTATGCATGTTCTCATTGGTTTAAAGTTAATTTGAGATACTCTAATTACTATCATTCATTACTTACTAATGCAATTACTGTAGTTAAGAACTAGATTACTGTAACTTACTTCATTATTTAAAGTAGCTTTATATATATTCCTATTAGTTTTAATTTATTTTGAAATAACAACTACTTTTAGTCATTACTTACTATCATTCATTACTTACTAATACAATTACTATAATTAAGTACTAGATTACTTTAAATTACTACATTGTTTAAAGCAACTATTATATATATTCCCATTAGTTTTAAGTTAGTTTGAGATAATAACTACTTTTAGTCATTACTTACTAATACAATTACTATAAATTAGTACTAGATTACTTTAAATTACTACATTGTTTAAAGCAGCTATTATATATATTCCCATTAGTTTTAAGTTAGTTTGAGATAATAACTACTTTAAGTCATTACTTACTAAGACAATTACTTAAATTAATTACTTTCAAATGCATTAAATGTTTCGTATAATTATCAAACATATATGTTATGAATATTTTTTTATAGAATTAACTTTTTTATATAGTTAATAGTTATAATACAGCTATAAATTATACATAGTTAATTTAAATTCAATTTTTATTAATTTAAAATAATTTAAATAATATACGTTTTGTATATAAAATTAATTCATTTCCATAGTCAATAGGTTGAAGTGAAATAAAATTGTAATTTATATCAACTAAGTTTCAAGCATAATTTTATTTTACACTTAGCATTTTTAATTTAGAATAAATACTTTCTTTTATAAGTTTTTTTTAGTGATTAATTACGGGAATAAGATTTAATAATTGAGTTATATATACCTATAAGTGGCTTTCACTATGTAGTGTCAGAAGTTGCAATTAGCAATTAAAAATATTAAAAATAATTAAGAATAATAATTTTTAATTATTTTAATTATTATTACTAAAAAAAAAATGTGATGAAAATGTAAAAAAATAATAATAATGAAACAAATTTAATTAAATATAATATTTTACAAACTAATTAGTTAGTTACTAATTTTGTTGAATGGTATTAATATATATTTTGTATAAATATTAAATTATTTGCTTATATATAGTCGATAACTAAAGTAAATATTTTAATGAGTTTTAAATAAGTTAAAGAAACTAATTATATAGTTTTTTAGTTATAAACATTTAATAATTACGAAACATTTAATAATTACGCTAATTAATTACTTGAGAAAATATGGCAGGCTCGCCTATGCCGTTATGCTTCATACTTTATTTGTATTAATAATGGCAGATGAATTTAGATATTTGTACCATTCATATCTATGATGAAGAGGCTAGTTCTTATTATTTAAAAGTGATACTGTAAGTACCTATAAGTGTTCCAATCCTCCGTTTATGTTGTAAAATTAATATTAGTTCCATCTTATATATTAGATATAATATAATAATATTAATATAATATATTAGATTTATATTAGATTTAAAATAAACATAATGTGCCAATAGACTTCAAAAGATTTCTAGAATCAAAATTTATTTAACTTAACTTATATTTAAAATAAATGCATAAACATAAATTACATTAATGTACTCAGCTTTTAATACATTAATTAATATTTAAGATTTAAATAATATATTTTATTTAATTTTTAATAGATCCTTAGCTAAAAGGTGAAATTAAAAAATAAATAAATAAAAAATCAGCTTATAAAATAAGCTTATTAACGTAATTAACTTTTTAATGTTACCACGTTCTTATTTATAAATATTAATATTAATTTCATTAAAATTAATTAATAATTAATTAGTTAATAATAAATAGTTAATATTAATTATAATTTATTAGTATTATTTATCTTTACTTAACATATATGTACTACAATTTAATGCATAGTTAAATAATGTAAAAAAAATAATTTAAATAATAATTATTACATTTAGTGCAAATTATATCGTAACTAATTTAACTAATTGGGAATATATATATATATATATATATATATACATCGTTACACTTAAGATTTAAAAATTTTGAGATTTTATATAATAATGATGTAAACCACTACATAATATATTAAATAATAATGTATAAATTATATATATTATATATTATAAATAAAGCTTTATTATTTCAAAATGTTTAAATTGGGTTTTATATAAATTAGAAATACAACTTTTAGAATAATAATTGTTTATAATATTTCTACATTCTTGTTTTTCATAAAAATGTATCATTTATAATGTAATATTTAGAATAAAATTTAATTATAGTAATATTTCTACACTGTTTTATGTACATTTTCCTCATTAAAATTTATTATTTACAATGCATCAACAATTATGTACAATGTTTATTATATAACATATAGACTGAAGTAATATTTTAACACTACTTTATATATAATTTATTCATAGAAGAATGTTCAAAATATTGTCAATCTAAAATACTGTAAATTGATATTGATAAATTTTGTTATTACACTCCTTTACATATTATATATGTATATATATTTTATATTATTAGACTGGAATAATAAAAATATATGTTATAAAATATATACTATATTATTAAATTATCTCCATTAATTTTATAGATTTTTATAATTAATTTTAAGATTAATACATTTGGTGCTGCATTTCATCACTGGCAGGAGCGTCATATGATGCAAAATATGGTGTGTTCTCAAATAAACCGCAATAAGTGGATAAATCTAGTAAGAAAACAGTCTAAGATACCTGATAACTAATATACCAGAAGTCTGGTTAGGTTAAAATTGCAGCCTTATGAACCAAAGCTACTGTGTCCCAAATGATCACCTGTCAAACTAGTGGCTTAAATTGCTCGTGTTGTTGAAAATTGCAGCAAAATATTAGGTTTCCCGCTATCTAATGAGCAAGTTTTGAAAAAAGAAAACAAGTTTACTGTAATTTGAGCAAGCTTAGATATCCGACGAAACTTATTTGTATTTCCTTTTACTTTTCATTATTAATTTATTATTCGTTTATTAAAAGAAACACTTACTTTCTGTTATACAAATGTGTTTAGTATTATTTTATTGTTAAAAAAATAAATATATACATATTTTTATAATGAAATTTTATTTGATTATTAGTAAATTTGATTTATTCAGAAACGTTGTTTTATTCAGAATTAATTAATTGTTTTTATTCAGAATTCAGGAATTAACTCTTTGATTTTATTAATATTTATTAAAGTAACCAGCTTTTTTCCAATATATTTAATGAACACTCAAACTTTAACCAATTAGTAACCAAACGAAAAAAATAACTGTAATATGCCCTTTTTTGAAATAAATATACATTAGTGACAATAATTTAAATACAAAAATTTTTTAATAAAAATTAATTTAAATATATAGAAAATAATTCTAGATCTACCACAATGCTTCGGCATTTAGAATGATTTTACGTGTCATATTAAAGATACATACTTTAAATTTGTGTTATAAAATAACTTTGTACGAAAATTAGCCAATTTTAGTTAATATTTATTTTCTTTTCTTGTTAATAAAATTGTTTATATTTCTCGCCTTAAGTTTTTGTTCACATTTAAACTGTCAAATAAAACGTAGAGTTGCCAACTTATACAAACAATTTTCTGTAAAATAAATGTTCTGAACAAAAAATACACATATTCTATGGTTCTGACACATAAGACTTATACGTGTACTGTGCATGTAAAAATCTATGTGGTCATTTTAAAATAAATATTTTAATATTTGCATCTCTTTAATATATGGAATTTGTGTTTAATTTATAAGCACAAATTTTCAGAATAAATGCATATTAATTTTAAATTGATTTCAGTTATCATATTAACATTCAATAGTCACATATTTAACACCTGCAAACTTTTAATATATTATATACAAAACATAATATAATAGAATTAGTTTTTGAATTATTAAATTAAAAAAATAATCCAAATATATATATAAAAATAAAGTAAACTAATTCCACTTTTACAAATAAAATTAATATAGTCTGGCATACACCGCATAAATTTTTTTTTGCATGACAATAAATCACAATTTCGCATATTTATATATTAAATAAAATATAAAGATATAATAAATAATTATAAAATAATTAAAACCATTAATTATTTGTCGGTATAAAATTTTTTTAATAAATAAACAATTATTGCGTACTATTAATGTACTACTCTGTACAGTACAAATAAAATTAATGAAAACAAAAGTTTGACGTTTTGCAATGTTGTTCGATTTGTCTTGTTTGGCAAATTTTAGTACAAAAAGAAGCAAACACGTGCGTTCGATACAGCATTGTTGCAGTTGAATTGTTTTTTATACTAATCAAATAAAAAACAGAAGTATTTAAAATGATATCGATA